TCATAATTGTTATGTGGTGTGCCATGTGTACAACAACATGTCTAATATATCATATTTTATTGCAGTGTGACAGAATCCCCAAATAATTCTCCAAATAAAGTTAACTTACAAGACAGCGCAATGCAAAGTACAGCAATCAGTCCATTCCAGGCTGCTGGGGACGATGTGAAAATGGAAGAAACTACTACCCCTTCTCCTAAACATATTACAGATACCGAACTTAATGTATTGCAAAGTTGTCTGCGTAGGTGGAGAACAGAAGTAGAAAGTGATGTCAGAGGTATGTTTTATATATTGATAAGATAAACTTTCTTACAGCTGAATGGAAAAGATACATTTTTATTTTAAGTGGAAAAATGTAAATAAAATAATAAAACAAGACAAGTCTTTAAAAAAGAACCTGTTTACTGGCTGAAAGGAATGATTGTTTTTAATGTTTGTCTATATCTATAATTTTTTGTGAATAGATTGAGTAACGTTTTCTTGTTTCTGAAAAAATACTGTTCATCTTCTAATTGGTTTTGCAGTATTTGCATTTTCTTTTTCTAATGCTAAGTTTTACCCCTGATGTGTACATTGTTTAATTTGAAGTTGATGTGCACTACGTCTCATTTTAGCCAAAATGACTATTTCATCTTATACAAAATACTGCTTTTTGGAATCTTAAAAAAACAATAACTGACATTTTATTTAGTATTATATGTATTGTACTTTTTTACTAATGGAAACAAGAATGCAATAAGTTTATTATCTTTTCTATGTAATATTTTAATATGACAAATTCATTGTTAGTTTAGATGACCTGAAGGATAAGTTGTAATTATTTGGGTGGATATGGCAATTGTAGAGATGTCTACACATTTACATATGTCGGCTGTGAAATTGTAATCAGACCAGGAAACGGAACCCATCATATTCAAACAAATTTGGAATAGTGGACTTGTTCCTGTCTGTTAGTCAATCCATTCAATCTCATTATTCATCCAGAACATGAAACAAAGACATAATATCATGGATGGCCAGCTAGTGGTCGTTTTGTTGATAAAAGTCCATCAAAATCTTCTTTTTCAGCCTTGTACATACGTAGTTGACTACATACATTTCTTGACATGCATTATTATTCTGTTTTGTAGCATTACAGGATCACATACATAAAATAAGACAAACCATTGATGACATGTATGAAGAAGAAGATTTGAGAAAAGTAAGTTGTTTACCTTATTAAAGCATACTTCAGAACAACTGCCTTGACTGGTAATCCTCCATTCATGACTACATGTAGTACCCATTCTCACTGATATATCAACCATGACTATTATAATCAGTCTAAAATATCAGTCCCTGTCTAATGTTTTAATTATCCTGATAGTATTGAGAAATCCTGACTTGTGGAATTGATATATTTACAGTGTTATATTGTTTTTTTTAGTGTCCATATTTACTGCATGCAGTATTGGTACATGAAGGACAAGCCTCAGCTGGTCATTACTGGGCTTACATAAGAAATCACATACATGAAAAGTGGCTTAAGTTTAATGATATCTCAGTGGTGGATGTAAGCTGGGAGGAATTACAGCGAGAGTCTGCTGGTGGATCTGGTAATGCAAGTGCTTATTGCCTTATGTATGTAGATGGCAATAACACAGAACTATTCGCAAGTAAGTTTATTATGGTGTAATTTAAAGCGGGAGGGTCATCACCTGTGTGTGTGCGTAATTGAGTCCCAAGCAATGATAACAACACATGCTGAAAAACGCAAAGGCTCATGGGTAGGCGCTTGTTTGTAAATAATGACATGCTATGGCCAATGATACACATGTGTAGGTGACGACTCCCCCACTTTAATGATGCATCATAACCTGAGTAACTTTTCTTAATGCATAACACTATATCAATTTTGGGGGAAAATCAAAGTCCAAGTGTCACTAACACTCAACTTAGTCGGCTCCAGGTGCATCACCAGATGTGATGGGGGCAATCACCCTTCATGAAGGGCAAGCCTCCTGCTAGACTCAAAACCATGTATCAAACATGTATTTTTTTTACTAAAACAGCTCAAGATGGTGAAACAGGACATACTCTCTTATCACTAGATTCCTTGGCATTAGATCTCAAACAACTTGTCTTAGAGGATAATCAGAAATTCATGAAAGAAATGGAAGAATGGGATGAAGATCAACTCCGGAAAGCTGCTGGTATTGGATATGAAGAAGTGACAGTGGCAAGTGAACAGAGAGCTACCACCACATCAAGTAAGTACAACAGTACAGTTAGTTTATTTTTCAGCAAAAGTCAAGCCAAGTTTTAACTGGGACTTAATTGAAAATCAGTAGGAGTGCATTGTAGACTTGTTTCATGTGAACTCAAAATTTGTGAATAAAAAATGAATTAGTTCCTGTTCAGACGTATTGCTAAACGAGGAATTTGGTTCTTGCGTCTCCATATGTGTCCTGTGTCAACTTTTGCTAGGAATGACTACTTTGAAACCTTTTTTGATCATATCTATTGATATTAATATTTTTCTTCTCGAAAACTACCAGCTTAATTGATATATTATGCAGAAACTTATGATGGACCTCCATGAGTATTTAGCTCCTCTGTCATCAGAGATAACAGCTCTTCATATAAGTGATTGTCGTCAGTCATCAGTCAACAATTGCATTTTCAAACTACCAGCTTTATTGCTTTGATATTTTATATTTAAGTACCTTGTGTGGACTATCAGATTTGTTCATTTCTTGCCAATATTATGAATTCTTCATTTTCATTAAGTACCTTGTGTGGACTATCAGATTTGTTCATTTCTTGCCAATATTATGAATTCTTCATTTTCGGCTAATATTTATGTAATTTTTGGTAACAAATTATATTTTAGAATTTTTCTTGAACACTACCAATCTGATGGCTTTGGCTTTTTTGGCCGTCAGATCACTTGTGTAAGCATTTGATACCAATTGTAATTTGCATAGCAATAACCATATAAACTAGTTTCTTTGGTGACACTATTTTTATCCAATAATGCATTGCATATGTGTAGTAACATGCTCAGCATTGCGAAATTTCAATTCAGCTCACTCAGTCTGCTGCTTCCTCTTTTACTCCACTTTCTATTTTCAACAACTTGTTGCACTAAGAATCTCTACTATGGTAATAATACTGGTAATATTCTTATTCAAGTACAATCATGTTTGATCACCAAGCTTTATTAGATTGAGGTAGTGAATTGTCTTCAATTCTAATATGGTGTTCTACTCAGAATATTTGCAAATATATCAGGTACTATATTTGAGGAGGGTTATGTCACAGTGTTTGGAAAGATCTTGATAATGATTGGAGAAGCTTATCAAGTAATTATTTTTCCTAGTAGTCTTGAAACAACCTCGACAGTCACAGTGTAGGGAAAGAGAATTAAAAAAAGACAAGGAAACTCTTCCTGTCAAACACAGAGATACAGAGTATGAACCATTAAGAAGAAATAAAGAACAATATGATGGCCAAGAGCAATTCACGGTGAAGTCATCACGAGATGTGAAAAAACTTGATTTGTCACTACCAGAAATGCAACCAATTATAACTGAACGCCGGAGAGTTAGAGAAGACCAATTCGACAAAGTCTCTCACCCTGCCAATTATAGAGGTATTATGGCACCACAGAAATAACTTAACATGCATGTAAGCATGTCTGTAGGTTGATTAATAAATAGTAGATTATTTTAATATAAATGTGTGTGTATGCATTGTCAGCATTGTCCAGTTAATGTAGATTCTAATAGTTACAAACCATGTTGATTAAATTGATTTCAATAAACCATTTTCTGCTCACTGCCTGATCCCAAGTTAAGTGTGAAATCAAATGAAGTCATATCGTCATAGTAACAAAACATGTGGGTATTTCAATGCTTAGTGTTATGTGTTAAACACATTTGACGTGTTGTGGGAAAGTAAGAGTATCTTAATACGATATTCCTTTCTGAAAGCATTCAGCATTTCAATATTTTGAATTATGAAAAAAAATGAATGTTTACACCATTCACACATTACACAACATCTTGCATTGAATTGAAAATCATCATCCATTATGGTTTGTCTGTGAGATTCAGCTTTAATGCCATTGAAGCCATGTCATTTATAGTTGATCTGTTTCACTAGGTGCTAAATGTAGATTTGCATTATAACAGTACTGTAACACTAAGTAACAATGTTGAGATGGCTAACCATCTTTTAGGACAGGAATTTTCAGGGAAACCAGTTTGGTTTTATTTTTGTTATCATTTGTAGTGCTTTTAAAATTTATACATTTTTTGCTAGTTATGTGTCTATAATGGAAATACGCCATCACTTATTCTGCATTGTGTATTTTCATTTATTGTAACAAAATGTAACATTTAAAGGAACAACATCTACCCTGGGTGAGTGTGTCACAGAATCGATAGGGAGACCAAATCCACTGACTGAGATGCATTCACAAATAGATTCAACTATTTTGGATAATGTAACATGTGTGATGAGCTATAGTGGGCTGGAAAAGGAATCCAACATACCCAGCCATGTATCCAATTGAATTGGTAAACTAAAAAGATTATTTTATCTTGTAGCTCAGACGGGTACAATTGCAACAGTAAGCCAGTCACAGATTGTTCCATCGTCCCCAGCTGGCACTGTAGAAGCACCGCCAATGAGTCCACCAGCATCAAGTGTGGGATTAGAAACAGAACATAATAAACTTACATTTGAAAGAAGTACATTGGCTTTAGAGAGAGTCAAAAGTATTTATCACAAATCAGGAGCAGAAGAGGCTCTGAAGCAGGTAAATAAGCAACCATTAGTTTTACCATCGAAATACTGAAAAAAGGTTAATTATTCACTGGCTTTTAATTTTGTTTATTTTGCTGACTGTAAAATGTGCTAAATTAAAACCCAGTGAATATGTAAAATTTAGCATAGAACACATTATCAAAATGATAAAACCGTGAATTTAAAACCCATAGAATATGCCTGAAATGGTAAATCGGTGAAATTTAAACCCAGTGAAAATTAGTAATTTTATAGTATTAGCAGACTTGTACTAAACAGTTTGAGTGGTATATTGACAAAATGAAAATGAGAAATTATTACAATTAAGATAATCAACTCACAAGCCCTTTTCTGAGTTCATCTGAAAGTCCTCTCCCACAGGAAATGAGTTTAGATGGTATCCACTGAGTACCGTTAGTTTAGATGGTATCCGCTGAGTACCGTTAGTTTAGACGGTATCCGCTGAGTACCGTTAGTTTAGACGGTATCCGCTGAGTACCGTTAGTTCAGACGGTATCTGCTGAGGACCGTTAGTTTAGACGGTATCCGCTGAGGACCGTTAGTTTAGACGGTATCCACTGAGGACCGTTAGTTTAGACGGTATCCACTGAGGACCGTTAGTTTAGACGATATCCGTTGAGTACCATTAGTTTAGACTGTATCCGTTGAGTACCGTTAGTTTAGACGGTATCCGCTGAGTACCGTTAGTTCAGACGGTATCTGCTTAGTACCGTTAGTTCAGACGGTATCTGCTGAGTACCGTTAGTTTAGACGGTATCCGCTGAGTACCGTTAGTTCAGACGGTATCTGCTGAGTACCGTTAGTTTAGACGGTATCCACTGAGGACCGTTAATTTAGACGGTATCCGTTGAGTACCATTAGTTTAGACGGTATCCGTTGAGTACCGTTAGTTGAGATGGTATTCACTGAATACCATTAGTGTAGCCGATACCCGCTGCGTACCTTTTGTTTAGCCGATACCCGCTGAGTACCATTAGTTTAGCCGGTTTCCACTGAGTACCATTAGTTTAGACGGTATCCACTGAGTACCATTAGTTTAGACGGTATCCGCTGAGTACCATTAGTTAAGCCGGTATCCGCTGAGTACCGTTAGTTTAGACGGTTTCCACTGAGTACCATTAGTGTAGCCGATACCCGCTGAGTACCTTTTGTTTAGCCGATACCCGCTGAGTACCATTAGTTTAGCCGGTTTTCACTGAGTACCATTAGTTTAGACAGTATCCACTGAGTACCATTAGTTTAGACGGTATCCGCTGAGTACCATTAGTTTAGCCGGTATCCGCTGAGTACCGTTAGTTTAGACGGTTTCCACTGAGTACCATTAGTTTAGCCGATACCCGCTGAGTACCTTTTGTTTAGCCGATACCCACTGAGTACCATTAGTTTAGCCGATACCCGCTGAGTACCTTTTGTTTAGCCGTTACCCACTGAGTACCATTAGTTTAGCCGATACTCGCTGAGTACCGTTAGTTTAGCCGGTATCCGCTGAGTACCTTTTGTTTAGCCGATACCCACTGAGTACCGTTAGTTTAGCCGATACCCGCTGAGTACCGTTATCAGATTAACTTTGTTTTTATCTTTTCAGGCTTATGAGGATGAGTTCCAAATGTTACAAAAACTTGCTGACTCTTTTGACAGTTTGTCACCAAAGCAAGATTTAAGATTGAAAAGTGGTGTTATTTACTTCCTTAAGAATACCACGCCTGCTTTTGTTATAGAAAGGACTATTTATGAACAATTCTCATATAAAGGATTATGTTTTGATAATAGGTAAGACTACAGTAAGAACTGGGGCAATGTGGAAAGTAAGAAAATATGTGCATTTTCCAGCAAAGTTATTAACTTGTGAACATGTATGCTGTAAAACATTGATAAACTGTACTCTGTACCAAAATAATTGTCAAAATATGCATTG